CACTGAATGAGTGAGTAGCAAATGGGTAAGGCTATAATTTAGGATATATGGCAGGATGTAGCAAGAAGAAGTATGACCAGAAAAGTTAGAAAGGGCTAGTTAGGAAGGGCCTTGCTTTGGCATTTGAGTTTTACTTTGGATATAGAGGAACAGATATAGGTATTCTAAAGCTATCTGTCTGAATCTAGTTTGGTAATCTGTTTCCCACTAAACGCAGTAGGATTGCTCTTGCCTGATCATTTCTGCAACCCTCCCCCACTCCCACCTCTTTAGTTCATATCTGTCTAGTTCTCAAAATCTGCTTGTCATGGTTTGTAGGCACAGAAAGTACTTTAGGTTTCAAGTCCGTGGTGCTTCTGTTCTCTCAATTTTTTCTTTTTTAAATGTGAAAAGGCCCAGTAGAATTTTTGAGAAAGGGAGTATGAACACCTTTCAAACTGCCTCCTCAGTCCTTGCCTTTCCATCTCCCACCCACACTGTCATCAGGAAGGAGTGGGGACTCTGGAGCTAAATCTAGGACTCCCTGGCTGCTGCTTCATTGCTGTGAGCCTCTAAGACCCACATGCGAGTATCCTGTCTGATTCAGAGACAGGGGCCCCTTGTCAATTAGACCTCAACTTGCTGACCAGGCCACAGGGCCCTTATCATCAGGCAATGTCTTTTCAGTTTTCTTGCTAGTCAAGCCACAGGAAGGCAAGGTACGTAACCAATGCAGAAATCCAGGGCTTTGGCTGGCTCTTATCAGCAGCTAGCCTTGAAGTCAATCCTCTTCTAAGTCCCCTGTTTCCTCTTCTACAGAATGTGGAGTTAGTTGACTCCTCAGTCTCTTTACATCTGGGAATCTTTGAATCCTGCCCTGAGCCCCATTAGCAATTTCCTCATTTTCATCATTCAACAGATATTTGTGGATGTGAGTTTCATAAAATATTCTCTGGGCCATGCTCAGGCTCCTTGCTATGTGTGTTTGGTTGCCCACTGCCCTAGTTTCTCTGTTTAAGTTTTCTCTCTTCAAGCAAAACAAGAAGAATGTAAAGAGCTCTGAGAGGTCTTGGAGGACCTCTTTTAGTGGGAGACACTTGTCCACCCAGAGGGGGTGCTGGGCACTCCCTCCAAAACCATGGGAAGTCCTCCCCACCCTCTGGCTCCTGGAGATGGAGAGGGGGCTACAGACTTCCCCAGGCTTCCCATGAGTAGGTCCTAGCAAGCAATTTCTCCCATTTTCTGAACACTTCAAGTCCCAGACTTGTATTCTTCACTTACACCAATCAGTTATGCTCACACACAGCAACCCTTAAAAAGATATTTCAAGCAGGGGCAACATTACTATGCATTGCTTTGCAGACTGTGGCAACACCAATTTTATCGGCTCATTCTCCTGTTCTGTTAACTGAACCAGTGGTTATTAACCCTGTTTCCTAGCTGAAGGAGAGCCAGGAAGCAGCTCAGCCAGGGTCAGTGAGAACATGATGATAAATAAAACAGACTCTCAATCTAGATGAGGCCATTTCTGCATTCATATCCTTGCACTGACGGCATCCAAATTGATGTCCCCAGACCCAATATCTTTATTTATTTATTTATTGGAATTTGAATTATAGTTTTATTTTAATGATAATGGAAACTTGTTTTGTGTGGATTATTTAAAAAACCACCTCTGCGTGTTGTGGGGGATCCTGTTTGGAATACAGGTCTGTCCCAGACAAAATAACTTTAAACCAAGAACCCACAGGAGAAACTTGGGGCAAAACACATATTGGACTCTTGATGCAACAAATGACAAAATGAAACTAATCCGAGGATGCAGGTCTCTGTGGATTCCCTGTTGCTATGCCATGAGTCACTCTCTAAGATGTAATGTGTAGAATTAAGCTACTGAATGAAGAACTTTCCCTACTCTGTATTTTAATGTTTTCACTTCAGAGACCAAAATTGTCATTTGAGTAAGTGCACAAGGAGATAACAAGGGCACTGCCTGAGAATGGCTGCCATTCAGGGTCCCACAGGGCACCCAAGCCTAGTGTCATCATATTGCAGAGAATATTGGCTTCACCTTTGCAGTTCAGACTCTCAGCTGTTCAGTGGTGCCAGATGTGACAGAGACTGGCTTAGCATAAGCTATAGACTGGAATATAAACCTTCAGGGCAAATTATTAATTTACAAAAAGGAATGTAACTGTCAAGCAGATCTAATCTTTTTCACCCCACTGGCAAACATATAGAGGAAAAGAAATTGTCATCCCAAGATCCCTTGATGAGCATGTTCACTGTAAAGCTTAGAAGCCCAGCTCTGCTCCTACTAGCTGTGTGACGTTGTAGGGTACATGAGGTATATACTTATATGTACCCTTTTCTCTATACCTATCTCTATAGAAACTTAAATTGCTCCAACACTAAAATACAAAAAGGTATATAGCAAAAAGAAATATTTCTCATCCATCCTGTCACCTCCAGTTCCCACTGCCCAACCCCAGGGGACTGACTATATTTCCATATTTCCATTTCCATCCAGTATATTCATGAATATATAGGCTAAGAAAAATAGATCTAATTTGGGGAGGGGGCAAGTTTCTTAGTTTTTTAAGCCATGGCCTCTCCAGTGCTCATTTATCATGGGCCTTTATTTTTTTTTACTGATAATGATATTGATCAATCTTTCCCCAGCTCCCCACGCCCTCAGCACATGGTCCTTCCTCCCTACTGAGGTTCACAGGACTCTCTTGCCTGCTCTTGTGAACCAGCTACATCTTTGGCTCCCACGTCCTCCATTGCTGCTCTACTGCATCCTTCAGTTCCTTGAAGATGCCATGTCCTTCAAACATGCTGTTGTCTTTGTTTGGAACACTCTTCTCCTTCTGCAGCACAGTTCTCCATCCCCCACCCCCAATTTTCTGGCTAGTCTCCAAGTTATTTTAGGTCTTGCCTTTGACACATATTTACTGAGTGCCAACTATGTACCAGGCACTGTTCTAGGCATATTTAGCACACTGTATTGTCACTGCCTGCTTCAATATTTCATATACATATATTTATATGGTACTACACTGTAATTCACATACCATAAAATTCACCCTGTAAAGTGTGTACATCAGTGGGTTTTGGTATATTCACAAGGTTGTGTAACTATTACCATTATTTAACTCCAGAACATTTTCATCACACCAAAAATAAACCCACTAGCAATCATTCCCCATTCTCCTTTCCCCAAGGACCGGGCAGCTATTAACCTTCCTGTCTCAAAGGATATGTCTATTCCAGACATCTCATATAAGTGGAATCATACAATATGTGGTCTTCTGTGGTTGGATTCTTTTACATAGCATAATATTTTCAAGGTTCATCCATGTTGTAGCATGTAGTAGCTTTTTATTTCTCTTTATGGTTGAATAATAGTCCATTGTATGGATATACCACATGTGCTTTATCCATTCATCAGTTTGGGTTGTTTCCACTTTTAAGCTATTCTGAATAATAATCCTGTGAACATTCATGTGGGCATGTACTTACATTTCTCTTGGAAATATACCTAGGAGTGGAATTGCTGGGTCATATGATGTTTAATTTGTTTGAGGAGCTGCCAGACTGTTTTTCAAAGCACCTGTACCATTTTACATTCCCATCAGCAAGGTCTGAGGGTTCTGATTTCTGCACATCTCATCAACCCTTGTTATCATCCTCTTTGATTAGAACCATCCTAGTGGGTATGAAGTGTTCTTCTGAAGCTTTGTGAGAACAAGTACTCCATCTTTCTTGTTCACTATTATCTCTGAGAACATACTGTAAGAACTGGCATTTATTAGATGTTTATATTTTGTTCAATACACCAAAAAAGTGTTGAAAAAGTAAATCAAAAGCTAGTTAGATGGCTACAATACTTACTGTGTATTATTTCCTCAGTAGAGATCTGTTTAAGCGATCTAGTACCTTTTTTTTCTGCACAGTACTGAACCACTCTTCTGTTATGATAGTCTTTTTTCAGGGAAGAAACTGAGATAAATAAATTTAAGCATTCTTGTTTGTCTTCAGATCACTCATTTGGATGTTAGGTGTGTGTAAATTCCTCATTTAGGCACTTACAGATAATTTCTTGATATTGTAACATTTTGTTTTTCCTACATCCATTTCTCATACAAAACTCTTGACTTCTTTTGGCAGGGCTTTTTGTTCACCCCCACTCCCAGAATTCAATACTTGCAAACAAACTTCCTCCTGTTTCTTTCCAAGCTGGTCACACTGGAACAATCAATACCTATGACAGTCCAGCCCTTCTTTTATTGGTTTCCTTCCATTATCTCTCTACACCCTCTTTTGGCTCTTTGATTTGGAAGTATCTGGGAACATGTAGAGCAAAGAAGTCAGTTGGGCCAGGGACTGGATGATGCTCATAGCCAGGACTCAGCACTTGAAAAATACACGTTGAATTAATGAATGTGGATATGTGAGAGAGACGTATTGCAAAATGTAGACTCGATCAACAAATACTTTTTAAGTACCCACTGTGTCCCCAGGCCCTGTGGTACATGCCAGAATAAAAAGGAAACAAAACAGGGGACCTGCCTTGGACTAGGGAGTTTCTAAAATCACTGGATCTAGCTGCTATTATACAATTTCCATGTCCATTTCTTTTCACTTTTTATCATACATTGGTTAAGCCCCAAATGGGAAATTCTGACCTACTGTCAGCGAAATCCGGAGTCACAGGTGCCCTCGTGCGCTGTTTACCCCCAAACAACTAAAAATCCCCCAAATGTTAAGCTTCCTGATTTTAGGGATTCCTCGGATGGGGAACCTCCGAAAGAACGGAACGCATGCCCACCAGAGGGTGCTGTAGGGGTAAATTTGTGCTGGGAGGGGAGCTTGACCGGTGACCCCCTCAGAGCCAGGTAGGCGTCTGGAGCAGTTGTCATTCTTCCTTGTGTTTCCCTCCCACCCCCTTGAACATCGCCGCCCCTCCCATCACAGGTGGTGCCCCCCTGAATAATTAGCCATTTTCTGGGACTTACAGAGTGCCTGCTTTGAGAAGACCTTCTTCTTCTCTTCCTGACACCCCCGGGGCTCAGGCCACTCAGGTCCCAGGCCAGTCGGGACTGGCGGGGCGGGCGGGGACCTCCCGGGAGTCTGCGGCGCCGCGCCGCAGGGGCCGCGAAGGGGTTAACCTGGCGGGGAGGGGGGGGGCGGGGGCGCGGGCCGCGCCTGCGCTCTGCCGCCTTCCATTGTCTCCACGGCGGCGAGGAGCGCCGGCTAACGCAGCCCGGGATCGAGCGGGGCGGAGCGGCCGGCGGCGCCGGCGGCGGCTGGAGGGAAAGCGCGACGCGACGCGACCGCGGCTTCCCGAGGTCCGCTTCGCCGCCCGGCGCCGCAGCCCGCTCGAGGCCTGGAGGGGTCCGGGCCGCCGTCCGTGGTTGCGGCGTTCTGAGGCGGGGGACGCGCCCGGCGCCCCCAGCCCTCCTCCTGCCCGGCGGGCGGCCTCCTCCGGCGCCTCCCTGCGCCCGCCCGCCGCCCCCCTCCCTCCTTCCCTGCGGCTCCCCCGGCTTTCGGGAGCCCGGGGGCGGCCTGTGGTGCGCCGAGCCCGCTCCGGACTGCGCCTCTTTGGACCTTGAGGGGAAACATGCGTTTGGCTTGGATCGTTTTAAATTCTTAGTTTGGGATCCCCGCCTGCCTGCCTCTTCCGCCCCGCGGGGTTTCTTTTTTCCTTTTCTTTTCCTGTTCTTTTTTTTTTCTTCTCCTTTTTCCCCTCCCGGTCTCCTTTTTGACTCCCTCGCCATTTATGCTCGCCCAACCCTCCCCCCGCTGCTGAGAGGTGGGGGAGGGTCTCGGCCTCCAGGTTCCCGCCCCACCGGGCCCGGGCGAGCATGGGGGGCAAGCAGAGCACGGCGGCCCGCTCCCGGGGCCCCTTTCCGGGGGTCTCCACCGATGACAGCGCCGTACCCCCGCCGGGAGGGGCGCCCCACTTTGGCCACTACCGGACGGGCGGCGGGGCCATGGGGCTGCGCAGCCGCTCGGTCAGCTCGGTGGCGGGCATGGGCATGGACCCCAGCACGGCCGGGGGAGTGCCCTTTGGCCTCTACACCGCCGCCTCCCGCGGGACCGGCGACTCCGAGAGGGCGCCCGGCGGCGGAGGGTCCACGTCCGACTCCACCTATGCCCATGGCAATGGTTATCAGGAGACGGGCGGCGGTCACCATAGAGACGGGATGCTGTACCTGGGCTCCCGAGCCTCGCTGGCGGATGCTCTACCTCTGCACATCGCACCCAGGTGGTTCAGCTCGCACAGTGGTGAGTCCGCGGGTGGGGGAGGCCTCCGAGGGTGGAGTGCAAGGGAGACGCGCCGGGGCGCCCCAAACCTTAGCGTGCCGGCGAAGGTTTGGATGTGGAGTGCCCGACCTGCATCTGTCTGCCTTTCCCTTGGTTCCCGAAGCCAGTGGATGAATGAGATGGATATCCACCATCTGGAAAAGAGGCTTTCTGCGAGGCTGCGGGGTCTGGCGTTTTAGGACTGCAGGCGTTCGTTTACTTGTGGATGGGCAGAGTGAAACCTGCCTATTGGAAGCTCATTTTCTGTCATCCTGGGAGAAGAGGCCTGGTCTGGCTTAGAGCAAGTCGGCCTTGGGGCTTCCTTTCTATCACTGCAGCATTGTGCCTATCTCACCGTTAACTGAGAGAGGGATCCAGTTAAACCAAAGGGTGTCTCCCAAACAAAGGGTGTCTCCCAGACAAAGAGTGAAAATAAAATTGGGGCAAGTGGTGTTCGGATTAGTGCTCTCACTCCTGCTGTGAGAGGTGGGTGCCCAATTTTGCCACCCTGCTGGAGATCTGTTTGAATTGTTTAAAATGGAGCAGCAGGCAGGCTGCTGGTATAGACAGGTGTGGCCTGCTGAATGGAGGGCTTAGCCAAGGAGCCTCCCTGGGAGGCTTTGCTGGGCAGGGGCTCTGGTCCCCCTGCTGCTTGCAGTGGGCTTGGCTCAGTCAATGACTGTCACATCCCTCCATCTTTTTTCTTCCCCTCCATGCTAAGTGTTTGGTCTTCCCGGTAATTTGCATCTTTTTGTTATGGGAGAGGTGAGATTTTACTGCCCATCTGTTGGCACATGACTGGGAAAGAGAAGGATTCAAAGAATCAGGATGAATTCGTTTTGTGAACTTCTAGTGACAGGCCAGTGAAAAGCCCGTGGAGGGTTTCCCAGGCTCTGACTGGCAGTGCAGAAAAGGCACTGGCGGGAGCTTCTGGAAGAAACAGGTCTGTCTGCTCAGCTAACCCGACAACCCAGGTTAGGCTTCTAGAAAATTGACCAAAAGGAGTACGGGCTGCTCTTTACTAATTGGTAGGTTGGAGTGAAGAAGTTAACCTATTGAGACTTTTTATGGAGGATTTCTCTATTGGCTCACTGTTCTGGCTGTTGTGGAATGGGGTAGACTTTTTGGATCTCTCTCTTTTTTCCGCTCAAAATAGTCTGGTTTTTTTTTTTTCAATTCTAAAAACTTTAAATTGTGAAGTACTTTTTTGGGGACATTGTGACTAGTTTAGGGTAACACTTGAAAGTGACTTTTGAATTACTAGGATGGTACTTTAATCCTTGAGCAGACCTCTAGGTATTATTGGACCTGCATCAAATTCTGCTGAATGAGATGCAAGGCATGACTGCCTTTAGCACTTTTAGACATTTGATTAGCTTTAGACATATTGAAGTTAGTAATCTTTCTTATAAGATTTGGTATTGAAAGAGTCAGCTGTATTTGTGAGACAATTGTGGTTACGTTTTTAACAGAACTGTCATTAGTATCTGATTTTAAACTAAAAACCACTGTTGGATTCTCTAAAATCACAAAGTTTTGTGTGTTGCCAAACAAATGTAATCTTACAGAGGCTTGTTGGGTAAGGAGTTCCATTTTTTGCTAAAATTTCTAGTCTGTCTCTTACTAGAAACTTCTTTTTCCTTATTTCACTACCAGCTTCCATGCTGGAATTAGAAGCTTAGAGTCCAAAATTTCATACTTCTCAGCTGTGAAACCTTAGTGAAAATTTTTTTCATCCACTTGTGAGGGTAGAGAAAGCTATTGAACTTTGGGAATATGGGATGAATTGGGGCATATTAATCCCTTAAGGGATTAATGTTAAAGTGTGTTTGGGAACATTGCTATTAATATTTTGGGTAATACATTCTTTACAGGACCATCCTGTCCTTTTCCAATACACTGAGCACTGAGCATTCCAGTGCCCCCACAGAATTTCCAAATGCTCTTGGTGGGAGAGGAGGGTACCACCCTGACTGAGAACTTGCTTTAAGAATTCATTCTTTTATTCAAATAAAGTAGTTTTTCCTATGCATTTCATTTGAGATGAGCTGTCCTATTTCCACTCTTCTGCAATCGTGGTTCTGTCTCACCTTCTGGAACGGGCCACAGGATCTTTCTTCCAGGGCATCCCGTTCCTCTTTTGTTCATTGCTGGAAGAAGAGAAACTTGTTTCTATTTTGGAGCCTTTGAGTAAGGTCTGCAGTTCTTGCTGTGTCGTAAGAGTGGAAGGGTAAGGATTTCAGTGCACCATTGACTGGGTGCCTGGAGTTGATGTGATGCTTACATTTTCACGGGGCTTACGGAACTCTTCACGGGCAGGGAAAACAGCTGTCAGTGAAATAAGTGGGGGAGTTCAGTGTGCACAAGGCTTCCTTAAAGGGAATGAGCCGATGCTGTGTCAGGAGGTAGAGTACTGGGGTCCCAGCTCCTCCTCTGAGTAGCTGTGACCTTGGGCAAGACACATCACTTTTTGAGCCTCATCTTTGTTATTTTTAAAATAGATGTAATAATCCTCGGCCACCAGCCCTGAAAGGTTGTTCCCCAGATCCTGTGAGGATATGAAGCAGTCATATTTGTCTGTTCTCGGTTCCAGTTACTCTTCCCTGGGCAGTGACCCTCGCATGCTCTGTTTTCTATGCCTAAAATACTTTTCCTTCCATTCTGTACACGGGTAGCTCTTCCGATCCCTTAGGGCTCAACTTAAATTTCTCCTCAGAGAACAAACACTCTTAAAAATTGGCTCCCTCCTGTTAATCTCTCCAGTCACTCACCTGTTACCTTAATAGCACTTATCATACTTTATAAGCACTTACCCATTTAACTAAATTTTAAGTTCCATGAGAGCAGGACTGTGCCTCTTAACCGCTATTGGAACTCATGCACTGTGTGTGCTTGACACACAGATTTGTTGAGTGCCTGGAGTCCATTATTTCATTGAATCATCACTATAACTCTGTGAGGTAAGACTTTTTATTCCCATTTTACAGATGAGGAAACTGAGGTTTAGGGGGACATTAAGGTCAGGTAGTAAACATGAGGCAGAGCTGAGATTGGAATACAGGTCTGCAAGTGTCAGAACCTGGGCTATGAGCCATTACCTTCTGCTGTCTCTCATCCCAAAACATAAGGAGGCTGGGTAGTACCCTGCAGATTGCAATGGCTTGAGAGTCGGAGGGCTAGGCTCATCTCCTGGTTGGGCTACCAATTAACTGTCTGACTTATGTCCTTGGGCAAGTCATTTAGCCTCAGTCATCATTTCTTCATGGGTAAGATAGAGATAATACCTGCCCTGCTTACTTTGCAGGGATGTTGCTGTGAGGGTATAATGGGATAGTGTTTACAAAAGCCAGGTAACATACAAATGGAAAGTGGCATTCCCACTTTATAGAAGACACTCTCATAGTTCTCTGCCTTCTTTCATCTCCATAATTTGCTGGGCAAAGAGATTTAGACCTGTGTGAACTGTTTCCCCAAAATGGAAGCCAGTGCTCTCTACCGAAATCTGACCTACACCCACGGGAAATTCTTAATGATGAATGCCATTGAGAAGAGCTACCTTTTTATTAGGATCTGAGTAGAGTCCCTTCCCTTCTACATTAAAATATAAGTTTTGCTGTGAAGTGTTTAACTCCTAAAGGTTATTTGGGTGGTATTCTGAAGACCTGGTCATTCTTTGTAACAGTCCTGTTTATCTCAGAATGCACATTTCTGGAAGTGGGATAAAAAACAGAGGATCCACCATGTTGGAAGGAAGAGGTTACCTGTTTTCTGGTTCCTACTATAAAATGGCTGGTCATGGAGGGTTTCACTCCAGCTTCTTCCCATATATGTATATGCATATGCATATTCAGAAAAATCCAAACTGTTCTCTGTTGTCATCAAGCCATCAACTAGGGTGACTTTTGATAAGTCTCTGAATGTGCTAGCATGGGTATCTCCTGTGTTCTATTTTGCTGCCACTCGGGGGTTCTCAAGTGATTTAATTTTCTGTATTTTTAAATAATTAGGGGGAGTTGCCAACTCCACTGGATTGGATCAGAAAGCCTTTTTGTGCCTCACCTTAGGCGTGCTAGAGTAATGGTCCTTTACACGGTTTTGGAGAAGGAAAAGCATTTTGTGGTCTCCAAAGAGCATGATTGGGGTCCCTTGCCCTGCAAAAGTTCTATTCTTAATGAAGACCTTTTTAAAGCAGAGTTTTTAGTTCTCTATTACCATGAAGGCTTATTTTCTATAAAAGAAAAAAGTTCCTTTGGGGAGAAGATAATTTCTTGAAGGTCAGTTAAGTCTTCCTCATTCAGGTTTGAAAGGTGTTGCAAGAAACAATGGTTTCACTCTTAAAGTGTTTGCTTTATGTGATGTTTACATTTTGCTGTTAAACAAATACACACCCCCAATTATGTCACAGGGGTTACTCTGAGCCAGGCCACTCTTAACCAAATAAATTCATCTCTAGTTCTTTTTGGGAAAAGAACGTGCTTTGTATTTTATGAATGCGATACTCAAACCAAGCTCATTAGGCACTATCATTTATAATTATCAATTATAAAAATTAATTTTGACAATTTCAGTATGGGAAAAAACTTCATGGGGAAAATAGTGGTAACTTAAATGGGCTCTTGGTCCTGATCCTACTACTGACCCTTAAACAGGGTGTTTTTAATGACAGTGGGTCACTGAAGTTGTGGTACTAGAATCTTGAAGTTAGCCGAAAACTTAAATCTTAAACCCAGGCTTTTAGAATGATGGATGAGAATAAATTTCCATCTGTTTGCTTTCCAAGTTTTGCATGGCCTCGGCTGAATCAAGTGGTTCCTAGTGATGACTGTGGGAATAGGCTTGAGTCTGAGAAGGGACTTCTCAGAGACTCAGCAGTTTTCACTTAGGAAGGACACAGGTTTATCCTTGAATCAGCAGTAGGTTTACTGAATCTTGATATGCTGAATGGATGAGGGGTGAGTTGGGGGGCATGAATGAATAACCTG